GCTCAAGGTTAGAAGTTAGAGACCAGCCTGAGCAAGAGCGAGACCTCGTCTCTACTAAAAATGGAAAGAAATGATATATAGAAAAAAAAAATGAGCCGGGCGTGGTGACACATGCCTGTAGTCCCAGCTACTTGGGAGGGAGGCTGAGGCCGGAGGATCGCTGGAGGTCAGCAGTTCAAGGCCAGCCTGAGCAAGAGCGAGACCCCATCTCTACTAAAAAAATAGAAAGAAATGAGCTGAGCAACTCAAAATATATACAGAAAACAAAACAAACAAAAAAAAATGAGCCAGGCGTGGTGACACATGCCTGTAACGGCGGTCGCTGCTGTCACTCATGCACGGCCGTCCGCTGACTGTCCTCCTGTACGCCGGTCGCTGCCTGTCCCTGCTGTATCGGCGTCCGCTGCCTGTCCCTCTGTACGGTCGCTCTGTCCCTCTGTAGGCCGGTTCTGCCTGTCTCTGGTACGGCCCGGTCGCTGCCTGTCCCTCTGTACGGTCGCTGCCTGCCCTCTGTACGGCCGGCCCTGTCCCTCGTATCGCGCCGGCTGCCTGTCCCTCTGTACGGCCCGCTGCCTGTCCCTCTGTACGGCCGGTTCCGTGCCTGTCCCTCCTGTATCGGTCCGCTGCCTGTCCCTCTGTACGGCCGGCGCGCCCTGTCCCCTCAATGTACAGCCGTCGCTGCTGTCCTGCTGTACGCCGCGGCCTGTCCCTCTGTATCGGCGGTCTGCCTGTCCGCTGTACGGCCTGCTGGCTCTTCTCCTGTACGGCCGCTGCCTGTCCTCTGTAACGGCCGCTTGCCTGCTCCTGTACGGTCCCGCTTGCCTGTCCGCTGTAGCGGCCCCCGCTGCCTGTCCCTCTGTACGCGCCGCTGCCTGTCCCTCTGTACGAACGGAGTCGCTGCCTGTCCCTTGCTGTACCGCCCGGTGCTGCCCTGTCCCTCCTGTACGGTTCCGCTGCCTGTCCCTCTGAGGCTGCCTGTCTCTGTACGCCTGTCGCTTGCCTGTCCCTCCTGTACGCACGTCCTGCCTGTCCCCTCTGACGTGTCGCTGCCTGTCCCTCTGTAACGGTCCGCTGCCTGTCCCTTCTGTCGGCCGTCGCGCCTGTCTCTGTACACGGCCGGTCCGCTGCCTGTGCCTCTGTCGGCCTGCTGCCTGTCCCCTCTGTACGTCCGCTGCCTGTCCCTCCTGTACGGGCCGGTCCGCTGCTGGTCCCGTCCTGACGGCCGCTGCCTGTCCCGCTGTACGGCCGGCTGCCTGCTCCCTCTGTAACGGCCGCTTGCCTGTCCCGTCTGTACTGGCCTTCGCTGCCTGTCCCTCTTGTACGCCGGTCGCTTGCTCCTCTGTCGGTCGTGCCTGTCCCTCTGTACGGGCCATGCCGTCCCTCTGTACGCCGGTCGCGTGCCTGTCCCTCTGTATCGCCGGTCCCGCTGCTTGTCCCTCTGTACGGCCGTCCGTCTGCCTGTCCCTCTGTAACGGCGTCCTGTCCCCTCTGTACTCGCTGCCCTGTCCCCTCTGTACGGCCGTTCGCTGCCTGTCCTCTGTACAGTCCTGCCCGTCTCTTGTACGGCCGGCGCTGAGCTGCCTGTACCTCTGAGCGTCGCTGCCTGTCCTCATGTACGGCTCGGGTCGCTGCCGTTGTCCCCTCTGTACGGCCGGTTTCGCTGCCTGTCCCTCTGAAAAAAAAAAACGTCTGCCTGGTCCCTCTGACGGTACGCTGCCTGTCCCCTCGTGTACGCCGGAAGTCGCTGCCTGTCCTCTGTAGGGCTCACCGTCCGCCTGCCTGTCCTCTGTACGCCGGCGCTGTCATCTGTAGGTCCCGCGCCCTGTCCTCCTGTAACCTCCGGTCCGCTGCCTGTCCCCTGTAACGGCCGTGCCTGTCGCTGTACGGCCGCTGCCTTCCCTCTGTAACGGCCTGTGCTGCCTGTCCCCCTCTGTACGGCCGGTCCGCTGCCGTCCTCTGTAGTCGGC